TATATAAATAATAAAATTCATTCTTTTTGAAAATTTATTGTAATTGAAAATATTGAGGAAGTAAATAAATTTTTAAAAATTGTTGATAAATTGTAAAAATAATACAATATTTATAAAATCACACAATAGTTTAAACATTTGATTGCATATAATAAATATTTTGATAATTTTAATTTAAATTAGATATTAGAAGATTATTATATCTTGAAATTATTATCGTGAAAGCATATTAGCTTTCTATCTATATTACAAATTATGTATATATATATGAATTTTAATTTTATAAAAATAGGGATTGGAATTGTAAATATGACAATAAATTGTATTAAAAAGTAAATTATTTTTATTTTATAAAATAAACATTTTTATAAAATATAAAAGTAAGTATATAAAATATATATAAAGTTTAACGCTTACTTTTTACACTATTGTTTTTTACAAGAAGTTATTTTAATTTTACGTCTTTTTGCATTTGTTTTCATTTGTATTACAGTTTTAACCGTATTTGTTTCATTAATTATTTGAGAATGCATATTTGTAGCATTTGGAATATTTAATTGAACTAATTTGGAAGATTTCCTTTTTTCCTTCGTTTTTTCTCTTTCAGCATTATCATTTTTGGGCTTGTTCGTTTTAGCTACACTGGGGCTGCTTTGGGTCTGCTCTACACAGGATAATACAGGACATATAAATAGTTTGTCCTGTATTATCTTGTTTAGAGCAGACCCAGAGCTGCCCCAGTGCAGCTAAAACGAACAAGCCCTTTGTTCGCTTGCTTGACCAAAAAAAACATCCGTGTTATTAAATAAAAGCAAATAATATTTTTAGTAAATTTATATTTATGTTTTTCACAACCGATGAGAGTGAGTGCAGTCAGTTCAGTTCATGTTCCTCATAGTACAGCTAAAAAAGAACAGATTTAAGATGGCGACGAAATGTTGCAAGTTATTCCATTCGGCAAACCTCCTCCTTCGTGGAACATTTTTCGTGACCAACTTTTTTCTCTATACGCTATCTAGATATGTCTCCTTACTCTTACTCCGTGCATTCGGCAAACCTCCTCCTTCGTGGAACATTTTTCGTGACCAACTTTTTTCTCTATACGCTATCTAGTTATGTCTCCTTCATGGACATAGGAATATAGGGACGGAGCGTAAACTTGGTTGATAGACGAGGGGAGTGAAGCCAAAATGCGGGGGGTCCGCCATGATACTGTGCCTGAATCTGATTGGTTATCGTTATACGTATGCTGTTGTTATTATACACTAGGTAATGCATTTCGTCTAAGTCGAGTTATCAAACATGTTCTGTCAAAGAATTTCTCTTCAAAGTGGACAGAGCAAATACGAGCTGTACTTGGGATAGATGATAAATTTATTTCCAAAATATCTAACCACAAATGTACGAGTTTTAGGATCTTTGGGAAACTAGAAAAAAACATATTTTTAACAACTTATACTCTTAAAATAAATATATAATATATTTTAAACATATAATATT